TGAACCACCAACACTTTTTCATTCAGGAAGATAAAACTGAAGAAACTATTATGCATGACAACATTTACAAATGAAAGTTGCCCCAAGCACCTGAAGTCATATGCCCATGGCAATGAAAATTATATTGATCTTGTCACCACCAGGTTAGAGAAGTGCCTGCAAGAATCTTTCCAGAGACACTTCTTTGCCTTTTGTCTTGTTAAAATACTCCCAAAGATATAGCTCTCTTGACTAAAAATAAAATGGAAGCCTTAGAAGTTGATGACATCAGTCCAGCCTTGGAGGTGACTGAAGACTTCTTCAGTACCTTTGATGCTAAGCTGGAAAATGTGCAGCCATTGGAAGTTTATGGAATTCAGGAGATTCCTGAACTAGTTGGATGTGAAACATTTAATAAAATCACAGCCTGTGGAGATGTAAGGAACATTGCTTCTTTAGGGAAGAATAACCTTGTTTGGGCACATTGCAAAAATGGAGTTTCAGAAACCAAAGTAGAGACTGCATTTCCTGCCAAAGAACAGTTTAGAGTGCAAAGGGGAATGGTTCCAAACAACCTCTCCTGGGTTGAACAGGGGGAGGCTTCAACTTTTAATATCTTTAACATCTGCCAGAGGAGGAAGGATCGGCCCCGTTCTGTGAATGATGTTATAGCACAAAATGAGAAAACTTCCTCTTTCAAGCCAGGCCATAACCGGTCACATTCCGATATCAGCCACGTAGATTGGGGCATCATCTTCAATGGTGCCTCTCCCCAACAGCTGTCTAATCAGGCGAGCCAATGTTCTAAACATTCATTTACACCAACTGGATTCAAAAAGGGAAAAGACATTCAAGGGAATACTGGTAAGTACTACTGTTTTGCTTCAATTAGCTTTTCTTCTTGTTGATAGCCATCTCTTCTTGAAGGAAAAACAAACTGTTTAGGAGTTTAGAGCACTGATTTCTGGGTTCAGTTTCCATTTCCACTCTACTTCATTGTGGATTCTTTAAATGGAAGAAGCAGGGGATACCAATATATGTTGAAGAATATGCTGAGAGAAAGAAAGGAAATCTCTGTCCGAGTTACATTTTAAATGATAGCAGAGAAGGGTGATTGTGCAAAGTTTTCATACTCAATCCAATGGATTAAAAATGCAGCCATTTCTGTAGGGCATCTTAGTTCATGTATATGCATTGTGTCAACAGAGGGTTGCATATTAAAAGCAGAAAGGGAATAGCTGGATTTTTTGTTGTATAGTACAACAAACTAATACCACAAGCATTGGCTATGAGAAATGGAACTCAAGGTTGCTTGCAGTACGATCCTATTTCACTCTCAAGTTCTTTTAAGTGGCCAAATATTAACATTCTGGGGAGATCAGTTTGCTTTATGCTTCCTTCCAAACTTTCTGTTGTGTTGCTGTTTGGAAATTCCTGCTGTTATAGCAAATTCCTGGTAGTAAAAACTCAGCTATATTACACTGAGAGAGTAATGAGGCAAGAAAGCTCTCAGATAGTTCATTGATGCATTAAAAAAAGATAAGATGCTGCTAGTGCATGCCTATTCTAGATGTGATATTTGATTTCTCAGTCCTGATTCCTCTATAATGTGTGACACAAAATTTCCTTTAAAATTACAGGGGTGTCCTTTGCTTATAGGTCTCCTCAACCGCTTATTTGGCTGACACCCAAGTTAGCCAGCATCTTTGGCTACTTATGGGTATGTTCAAGGATTCTGGAGGAATAAGTACCTTTAGACGGTTGGCAGATTGTTTCCATTTGGTTCTAATAGCTAAGTAAAACCTCCATACTTAGAGGCACTGTACCTCTGAAGGTTTGATGCTCAGGTGGGTAAAGAATGAGGAAGTGTTATTGCTTCCTTTCTTCTTCATCCTACAAACATGCAACTGGTAACAGCTGTGAATAGAATGCTAAATTAGATGGACCTTCGGACTAATTTAACAAAGTAATTCCTCTAGCATATGCAGACAACAGCACTAATACCACAAGAGCGTTGGCTATGAGAAATGGAACCCAAGTTTTGCTTACAGTATGATCCCATTTCTTTGCTTCTATTACCTGGAGAGGTTGTTAGAATACAAAGAAAGAAAGAGAGATGTTAGCTTCTCTCAGCAACCATTTCTGAAATATAACATACATTACAAAAATTGAAATGAGACATAATAAAACAAGAAAAGAGATATAATCTGTAGAGAGAGAATTCTTACCCTGCTCCTTTTCTCTGATGTTTTCTTCATTGGGACCTTATTTCTCAAGAAATTACAGGTCAAAAAAAAAACAGGCTACCCCAGATGTGGGCAATTTAGTGTGATTATCTCCTATTTACTTTGATGGGCTCTGATTTGCTCTGCCTCAATTGAATTTCCTTGTTTGGTGAAAGTAAAGAGAAATGTTGTTTCCCTTTTAGAGGCTGGAGAGAAAGCACTCTGTGAAAAGGTATTATATAGCTTTTGTACATCAGGCAGGCAAGGTGGAACAGGAGATGGCTGATGGAAGGCAACGGTGAGGTAGTTGTGATTTGGCCAGCTTGTGCCAGCAACTGCTGCTCCAAAGGGTGTGCTAGATGTGCATGTTAATCAAGTCATCCCTCGCCATTGTTCCTGTTGAAGTGGGAGTGGGTGAAGCCAGTTCACAGTAGCTTGAGAGAGATGCTAGTAGAAAAAATGACTGGCTGTAAAAGATGGAGGGGAGGGGGAGAGACAGCTTTTCTCTCACTCAACAAAAGACAAGCAAATCTCTGAGACAGTTTAAGGCAAGAGGGGAGGGGAAAGCAGAGATGGATGTGGCATAAAAAGTGGGAGAAACCTGAAGTGTCATCTGTGCTTGATGGAAATGAGAACAACTGAGTGGATTTGCAGTTGGTTCTGCAGTAGCCATGCTGTTTCTGTTATTGGATTAACAGAAAAGGAAGATGGCAGTAGAATGTGTGCCCATTATCTCCACTACAAAGGGATGGGAGGAGGGGGAGGTTCAAAGAAATTAATGGGCTTTGAGTTAACACAGAAATCCTAATGAATCCTAGAGCCAGAGATGGAAGGCAAATAAAATTGGTTTCCTCTTATATCCTTTTGTCTCATCGACACCTCTCTCCTTCAAATTTGAGTTGAATTTAATTAGTTTCTTCCTTGCCTGCAATTTATTTAAACCAAAACCCCTCTTTTAGGGTTCTTTTTCAGGGAGGATAGAATACATGTTGGACAGAACAGTCTTTTATTACTTGCTTTAGTTCAGTGTGAGAGGAGAAACATACCATGGTGCTGTGATTTAGAACAACTGTCACATTCAGTGCCTGCGGGTTGGAGTAAAATGCACAGGTTGAAAATGCAAACAAAGGATAAACATATTTCTGGAAACTATAGAGGAGAATCATGAAATCTTAGAGTTGGATGGGACCCTTTGGGCCAGAGTTTCTCAACCTCTGCAGCTTTAAGATGTGTGGACTTCAGCTCCAGCTGGGGAATTCTGGGAGTTGAAGTCCACGCATCTTAAAGTTGCTGAGGTTGAGAAACACTGCTTTAGGCCATCAGGTCCACCCCCTATTCAGTTCACGAATCTAAATAAAAGCTTTCAAGGCAGATGGCTTTTAGTCTCCCTTGAGCACATCCAGTGAAGGGGAGTTCACCACCTCTTTGGCTGATTTGATTCCACTGTCAAACTGCTGTTCTTACAGTTAGGAACTTTTTTCTATCAATCTGAATCTGCCTCCCTGTGGCTTAAATACCTTGTTGTCTAATAGGTCTTGACTTTCTTCTGTGTGACATCATTTCAGTTATTTAAAGAATGCCATTATATTCCCCGCCCCCATCCTCAGACTTCTCTTCTCCAGGATAAAGTTACCAACTCCTTCAAGCTCTCTTCATAGGACTTAGTTTCTAGTCCTCGGATCATCCTTGTTGTCCTATGCCATCTGCACAGGGCCACCTGTACTCTTCTCTCACATGGGGCCAATGAAGACATTTTCCAGCATACCTTTTATCACCACATAAGCCACAGCACTGCCAGGCATTTGCCATTTTTAAAAATCTGATTTCCAGAATGGTGCTCTTCCAGAAAGAATATCAAGCAATCCTATATATGTTTTCTAAATCCCATGGTAATCAGTGGTGCTTACTGTTTAGCAACTGTTGCTTAGGATTGTAGGTTTTCCAGTAGTAAAAAATGATCACAGCTTAAAATGTAAATAATTTTAAGGTGTAAGGTGTAATTCACACTGACAAATTATAAGGTTGCATCTTCCTGTTGAACTTTTACAAATTCTGTGAAAGGATATCTGTACACAGTGTAACAATTATGTCTAAAAATATTACAATAATTATCATTCTGCTATTGCCCAATGATTACAGAAACATGTTTGAAAGCATTACTTGCATTATTATATACCACCCATTAACCAAAGTTCCCTGGACAATTTAGAGGGTTTTTTTTTAACTGTGTGTGTGCGTGTACATATACACAATAGCAAAACCTGCTGTTTTGCTGGAAACCTCTTATAGATGTGAAAGAAAGAGGGAGGGAAGGAGTCTGAGAAGTGGCTCTGAAGGTGTTCTTAAAGGTACTTATGGGAGAAGGAAGTCATGCAGGTAAGCTGCTCTGAGCCATTTAGGGATGTCAAGTTTAATAGCATTTTGAATTGGATCCAGTGATGGCCCAGAAGCCAGAGCAAGTGGCAAAGAATCAGCATAATATGATAATGTCTGCCAGTTCCCATTAGCATATCTTGCTGCCCTATTTTGGATCAGCTGTTTCAAGATCCTTTATAAGAGCAGCTCTGTAATTCAAGCAAAAGGTTATCAAGGTATAAGTTTATAGCTCTAGGTTGTTTTTGTGAAGAGGAGAGTTGTAGTTAATCTAACCAGCCTCAGCTGATAAAAGGTGCTGCAAGCCACTGTGATTCCCTAAGCCAATAATGACTGGCTTTTACTGGTCAACTTAAGCATTATAGACAGAGGAGTTTTAAAGCATTTATAATTACATTTGTTCGAACTCTCTTCTAGAACACAAGCCTACGTTTTCAAATATCTTGAAGAAAGGGTATGTAGAAATTAAGAACAACCATGGCAGTTACTGGCAGGCTTGTTATGCAGAACTCTCTCCATATGAACTTTGTCTGTATCAGCTTGACAAAAGCGGCAACCAGAACCTTCCAACAGTCTATCTGCTTTTGCACTTCCAAAGCATCAATGTGGAAACCAATGTAGTTGATGCAGTCCTGTTCAATAATTTGCACCTGCAACTCAAAGCAGAATCACCTTGGGAAGCTTTGGACTGGGGGCAAAAGCTTCGGCAAGCTGTTCATTCTTCAGTTCCGTCGTTTCTGAGGCCCAAAGGAGACTTGGTGAACTCACAGAAGTTAGATAATACTGAGAGCAGCCTCACTCAAAACCATGGCTTACAGAAGGAACCTGCTGAATTTTTCCAGTTGACATCTTTGACCCCAAACATCAAGGACTACCAAAGCATTATCAAATCAGGGATTCTTTACCGATTGACTCTCCAGAATAACTGGAAAGCATTCCATTTTGTACTCAGTGGGTCTCTTCTCATGGCATTTCAGATTGGTGGGCTTGATGAGGACCCTCTGTGGAGCTACAATACTGAGGCATGCCTCTCTGTTCAAACTGATATTCTGGATGATTGTGACTCTTGTTTTCAGGTGATCTTTCCTCAAGATGTGCTTCGTCTACGTGCAGAAACCCTTCAAAGAGCTCAGGAATGGATGGAGGCTTTGAAGGCTGCAACCAGAGCAGCCAGCTTAGGGCAAAACCTGCAGGTGACACTTAGAAACAAAGTCCAAGGCCTGTCTTGTGGAAAAGAACATAGGAAGATCAAGCGCCAGTCTGTCACCACCAGTTTTCTGAGCATTCTAACTACGTTGTCCCTGGAAAGAGGCCTAACTGCTCAGAGTTTCAAGTGTGCAGGTAAGCAGTGTAAGAGAAGATGCTTTGTCTTTCCTAACCTACTTTACTGATACATCTTTCCACCACATAAGAGTTTCTGAATTTGGCATTTCTGCGTAGTGCATTTTTACATAATTTGGTTGTTATTCTGTATTTCGAGCTGGGATAACTTGAAACCCCACTGGCACTTCTTCCAAAGGCTCTCTAATAAATGACAGTTGTGATAAATTGCCACCAATCAGGCTGAATCTGCAGATATACCCTGGTCAATCCAGCTGGGAGTTATTAGACTTCTCTCTTTAGCTCTAGAATATTAGAAAGAAAATGCTTTGGATCTTCTGGTCAAAGTCAAGAATTCTGGAACTTAAACCTTGTGCCTGTTCTGAAACACAAAAGGCAGCTGTGCAGCCATGCAGTCTTGTGCATGAAAAGTTCAGTAAATCAAATCTCTTAATATAAAAAAGATTATGTAGGGACAAAAAAGGAAAGCGATAATCACTCACAGAATTCCAATAAAATTGATGAAAATAGTCTACATTAGGTAAATTTTATAAATTAAAGTAGCTAAATTAATAGTGCTAGTTACTACTCTGCTTGGATAAAATCTGCACATGTTCAGAGCTCATTACAGAGAGAATGGCTGGAGATAAATTATTAAGATCTACTGTTTGAATGTTGTTAGATAGGTCCTCCTTGCTGCTGCATGCTTGTGAAATAGCCTTAGCTTATATATAATGCAGAGAATAAGTGAAAACCAATCTCCCTGGAGAAATTGATTGATGTTTTGTCCAATCAAGGGAAATATTCCATCTCTAATGTGCTGAGTCTAGCTAGCAAATCAGAAATTATCTAGTTACTAGAAAAAACTTCAGTGGAATGATAAAGGTGCAAACTAGTTTTTACTAGTTGTTAAATTGTATAAAATAGATGATATAAAAGAGGCTTTTCCACAAAATAAAATATTAATTCCATCTGTGGAGGTCTTTGAGGATGGAATCAATTTACCAGATGCTTAGAAGGCATGATTCTGTTGTGCCAAAACTTGGGGTTTGCCATACTCTATATCTTTTGCTTAGGTGTAACAGATTTGGGTTATAAGAATCTGGATGACCACAAGATGGCAGCAAAAGGTAGTTTCTGTAACTCATGTAATAGTCACCCAGATTTTCCTACCCCAGGTGTGATATATCTCTGTTGTGCTCACCTGGTTTATGATGAGCTTTTTACAGAAGAAAAAGTAGATTTATATGCTGTTATATATAACATTTTACCAACTCAGAGTACTTTGATCATAAAAATAGTTCAGTGTACTTAGTGCATTGGCTAACACAGATTGAGTTGTTTGGGTAGAGCATTTTTTTTGGCCTTGCAGCCTCTTACGAATCTTTCAGATGAAAGTGAGATAATAGATTACTGCAGAATGTCTCTTCAAATTAGAGAGAAACAGCTCTGTGGCTTCAGCTAGATACAAGAGCTAGTGGAAGTTCTGCTGTCCTTTCTTTTGGTTTTTTATGTAGTTTGACTAGAGCACAGGAGCAGAGATTGCTCAGCAAAGTAAAGGTCTCTATTGTTGCTGTTCAGAATGGTAGCAATGTTGCTGAAGGTGAGGAAGAATTATATTTACTTAATTATTTAATCTGTTTAATAGAGTCTTCTTGCGTTAAGTTGTGTAGCCTGCAATTAAAGCAGTATGTGGTACTCATAGGTATTATTGGGTGACTGACCATGAGTTCACAGGTCTTTCCTTGAACCCATGTTTAAAAACCTCACTTAACTCTAACTGGGACTGGCAACTCTATTGCTAAGTGAAGTGGTCATTAAATGAAACATCACATGACTGCCCCTCTTAGTGATGGCAGTTCCAGTAGTCCCGGTTGTGGTCGTTAAGTGAATCACCCACAGTCATTAAGTGAGACATGTTGCCGCGATTGCAACCTCTTTCTGGCTTCCTCATTGACTTTGCTTGTTGGAAGCTGGCTATGAAAGTTGCAAATGGTGATCATGTGACCATGGGACGCTGTGACTGTTATAAATGCACGATGGTTGCCAAGCGCCTGAATCATGATCACGTGACTGTGGGGATGCTGCAGTAATCATAAGTTCCAGATCCAGTCATAAGTCACTTTTTTCAGCACTGTCGTAAGTTTGAACAGTCACTAAACAAATGGTCGTTAGGTTAGGACTACCTGTACTGTAAATAGCGGGTGGCCAAAAATGCAGAGTTCGTGCTTCTGTTCCTTGCCATGAATGATATCCAGCAGTATTTGTTTGCAACCAAAATAAATACCGCTGGGGGGAACTGATCTCCTCCCTCCTTTGTGCATCCCCCAAATCTGCTCCAGAAGTTTGAGAGACACATCTAAGCTGTTGGACAGGCGAGGAGGGAAGGGAAATCCACTTGCCTATATCACTCAATAACAGATACTCTCATTGCATTCCTATCATGTAAAACAAAGGCATGGAACTTCTAGCCCTCCAAATATTAAATTCCTTACCATTGGTCCTGCTGACAGGAGCTACTATGAGTTGTAGTTTAGCAACATCTGGAGAGTCGCATGTTCTGTATCTCTAATGTAAAGGGCTCTAGCCTAGGTGAACATGATAGGCTCTACTCACAGTCGCTCATGCCCTGGTCACCTCCAGAAGGAATTATTGTAACGCACTCTACATGGGGCTGCTCTTGAAGAGTATCCAAAAGCTTCAGCTAGTGCAGAATGAGGCTGCATGGATAGTTCTGTGTGCCCCTAGGGGGATACACGTTACAACTCTGTTCTGCGAGCTGCATTGGTTGCCATTTTGCTTTCGGGTGCAATTCAAGGTGCTGATTTTGACCTTTAAAGCCGTACATGGCATGGGGCCAGGTTATCTGAGGGATTGCCTTTTCCCAATTACATCTGCCCATCCCACCAGGTCAGGCAGGAGGAGTGTGGTACAGGTCCCATCCCCAAAGGAACTCCATCTGGCAGGACCCAGGCGACATGCCTTTTCTGCTGTGGCCCCCGCTTTCTGGAACATAATTCCCCCCAAGCTAAGGTTAGCCCCATCTCTGTTAGCCTTCCGGAAGGCCCTTAAAACATGGCTTTTTTACCAGCCTTGGGGATCCCAGGAAAAGCCTGCAAGGTGGCTATGTGAGATTAAATGATGTTTGTTCTCCTGCTTACTTGGGTTTTATTTGTTTATTTTACATGCTTATTTTATATGTTTATTTTTTATTGTTTTTAGATTGTTATGGAGTTTTTAATTGCTGTTGTGTTGTATGCTGCCCAGAGTCACATGTTTGTGAGATGGGTGGCTATATAAATATGCTAAATAAATAAATAATAGAGTCCCAAATGTCATTTTGATGCTCCTGATGTAATCCTGAATAAGCAGACAAATTGCACTGATATTTTGAGCTTGGTTTAAAGAAATCTGAACTTTTGAATAGGAAGTTCGGATAGATATTGGGTAGAATTTGGAAACCAACTGCTAATGCTACACTTTGTTGTCTGTGTCCAGAAATGCAAGCAATTACTATTTCCAGCAGGGGGCAGTATCAGTAGATTGTCTTGCAATGTAAGACACCCCCCCAAAAAGCCAATTTAGCTATTTGTAGGGCATGAAATAACAATTAGCCATTTACATTAATTGAAAAATAATACTTAGCTATTAAAAAGCTTTCATGTGAGGAATGTGGAATACTTCTTTTTCAGTGTTTTTATTTAAGGATACATATACAGTAATTCCTATAGAAATATAAAACTGTGCTTATTTTAATAAACTGTGGACAAATATTGTAATGTTGGGCTGCAACTAAACATTCCTAAGAGCCTTTATTCCCTTAAAAAAAAGGAGAATTTCCTTCTGCATCTTTTTCAGAGAGTGAATGTATTTTGCGAGGAATTCAAGAGTGAGAGGCTGACTTTTCAGTGATTGGTGGGACTGTTTTGCTTCTTTAAGAAAGCCCTCATGTATGCTTCCAGTTCTGCAAGGCCTTTTTTTCTCCTTTGTTAGGAAATGATAACCTGACCATACCGTGCTTGTTTGATCAATTAATAATTTTTAAACAACAAAGGGGGAGGAGGAAAGTGCTCATTCCATTGCAAGAATGAGGTTGTCCTGGCTGTTTAAAGAAGAAAGAACAAAAATAGACAAATTGGCCTCCAAATGGAAGGTGATCTTCCCTTCCTCTCAACCCATAGCACTAGAATAATTACTTTTAGAAGATGTTGGAAAAAGGCAATGGCAAACCATTTCTGTATCATGCCAAGAAAATAGTATAGATGTTTCCCAAGAAGTCACCTCAGATCAAGCTTTGACTTGAAAGTGGTTTTTATTTTTTAAGAAATCTATTTGGGTTGCTCAGTGAAATGCTGAAACTGACATGATGAAAATTAGCCTGTTCAAGCAAAACATATCCAGGAATTCTTTGGCATCCTTTGACAAAGATAGCTTTAGACTGGGTATGCACAACCATTTCTTGGCAAAGGGCTGCATTAAATCTTTGAGTGATATGGGCAGGTCCAGAAAAAAAATTAGATTATATTTGATTACTTGAAAACAATGGCCATATTGCTTGCCTCCAAGTTTATTCTTAGAGAATTTATCCTTCTGACACATCTGAACTTAAAATTTGCCAGTGCTGATCACAGGGGCTGTGGGAACAGCATCAAAGTCTTTGCAGGTGGGAAGAATGGTATGTGGTAGTGCAACCCTCTCAAATGATAAATGAATGTGTGCAACCCCCATGAATAAATATTAACAAATAATGAGGCTACCTGTGATTGGTTTTGATGGATAGCTAGACCCTTCTGGTTAGCCCTCTCTCAAAACTTGCTCTCTGCATTGTCTCCCACTTTGTCAGGAAAAGCAGGAACATTGTGAAAACACACTTAATTTTGCTTCCCATTTTCTTGTGCAAGCCCACTACTGCCTCACACAAGCTAAGTAGGATAAATTTTGACAAAGCCCCAGCTCTACTTTTACAAGTCTTATCTGTGACACACGCACCCTTTTGAGAATCCTGGGTAATAGTATTGACA